GAGAAAGAAAATGGCAAATCAATCGGAATTCAAGTCCAATTTTGATGAAAAATGAATAATTTTGGAAGTACAAAGACATTATAGACGTAGGGTTGCGGCATTAAATATTTTCTTTGAATTGAATTGATTTATTTCCCTATTGAAATGGACATGAGATGCATCTAAAGATGCCGTCTTCAACTAAACAATTCTCTCTTGTTATTTTTCTCCCAATGATACATGTCAAATCCAATAAAAATAAAAAATAAAAAYGTAGCTTTTGATCGGAATAATTGAAATTATAAAAATTAATTTATCGAGTTGATTTAGTTTTGTCATTTTTGTCCCAATGATGCATGCCAAACAAAATAAAAGAAAATGTAGTTTTTAATTAGAATAATTGAGTTTATAAAAATTAATTTATCGAATTGATTTAGATGTGTGTAATCTAAATGAGATAATGATATACCTAAAATGATGTCGCTCTCGTATGGATAACTCAATTAAATTTCTAATAATGTCACTCTCCAGATATTGATATTCCTAGAGACAAAGTTTGAAAATTTTTGTGAACTTCCACCCTTTCCACAAAGTTTAGAGGAAAAAAGTCTACTTTTTTCTTTTTTGTTTTTAAAATTATTATCGTATTTCGTACCAGTATGGGGTATTAATGACGATTCCCGATTATCCTAGTTGGATGCTTACGTGGCAAGATGCGTTAAAAGCTACTTATGAGTTTAACAATTAAATGAGGAAAAATTTCCTATACTACGATAGTATAGATGCTACTGTCATCCAACCGGATAATTATGAGTTTGATTCAAGGTTCTAGCTTACTGTCTTCTAATAAAAAATGGATGTTTTAATCCGTTTAAGCTATGTTCATGTATTGACATCTTTATTGTGATTAGCCTGTGTGTAGAACAATTCTATACATAAAAATTATTTTAAAAGTCATATTGGATTTAAGTCCAGTATGGAACAACACCGTACTAATTATGGAAGCATAAAGTAACTTGTCGTTCATATACATTCTCGTTTGTTGTTTTTTGTTTTTAACTTTTGAGAAACATAAGTGTTTGGTAATTTTTCTTATTTCTCGTTTCTCTTTTTATTTTTTCAATTAGAAAAAGAAAGAAATAATAAATAGTTACCAAGTGTTGAAAAAAAATAAACAAAAAATAAGAAAGAAACAAARACATTATCAAAGAGATAAATGTTGCTTTGTTGTCACATTCCTTGTGTTTAATTCCTTTTACTTACAATGGGTAAGAAAGTTGGAAACTGATTGATAACCACTAAATTTGTTCCCATGGATCTTTAATTTGAAAAGTCACTATCAAAAGGATGGGGACGATAAACAAGAAGAAATTGGTGCAATGTTCATGATAAGGTTATAGAATAAAAAAGAGTTCAAAAAGATATGTAAACAACAAAATCCCGTTTGGAAAATCTTGGTGCAAATGCCTTTTGGAAAGTTGCCACCAATAATATATGCATATGCCATGGAGTGGTTGGTAGCTCAATTGCCATCTTTCCACAAATCTTTATCCTAGACTTCAACCACTAAAGACGTGCGATAGGGTGGGTAATATAATACTTTTAATTTGTTAAACATCTCATCTCCAATCTTTTTATCATTTAGTGTCACGAAAAGATTTGAAACTACAACTTTATAATAATAGAGAACAAGTCGATGCATGATTAGGTAAAAGAAATTATGTTATAGTTTTATTTTTTGTTATTAACGATAGCGTTCTCTTCTTCAAAGCTAACGTTAAATAAGGGAAAAAGAAAATCAAAAGAGATGCTACCGTATATGAAACTGCCTCTCACCAAAAGGTGAACATCTCAAGATTAAGATTATTTATATCGTTGCTGAAACTCAATTATCTCGTGATGTATATATGTGTCGTTGGAGACGACGGGGATTCATTTCTGAAAGTTAACTTTAATTTTAGCGACGCATAAAATTAAAACGTCGGAAATACTTGAGAAGATGCGAAACTAGCGACCAAGCTAGTCACGTTGCTGAAACTTTCAGGGACACTTTTTAATTTTTGCGAGGAATTTTGTGGGTGACTATGTGATAAACATTCTAAGGTCTCAAAAGTGACTTTTCAATGAAAAGTATTTGGGACGGTTGGAAAAACATGGTTTGAGCAAACTTTATGAGACATTATATCTAGTGGGTCCTGTATTGTTCATATAATTAGTGCGCTCAGATGTGTACTTTGACATTGCTTAATAAGATTAGTTAGTCAATTAGCAAAAATCATGTTTGGAATTATTGGAATGAGTCTCCAAAATTCCCAAGATGACCATTTATTTTGAAAAGTTATGGAATCCAAGTAGGGTGCACTTTGTACTTTGAAGTTGTGTTATCTGTTAGGAATAACAAAACTTTATTGGAACTAAGAGAGTTTTGTATGATAATTTTTTTAGTGGGTTTGTATTAGATATTTAGAGTGAGTTCAGAACATGATGTGAACCAAGGAAGCACCATTATCATGCCTCAAGGACCCATAACGAGATCAAGAGCCAAGAAACTACAAAAAACTTTACTTACTCATGTTCAATACTTGGTGAGCTCGGCAAGGGATGATCAAGAGAGAGATGAAACTTTTCAAGTCAATATCTTCCAAGTAGAGCTTAAGGGAGGCGTTGCATTAAATGAACTCTAAGTTCATTTAAARGAGCTGAAGTTGAAGTGGAGTTTAACTTAAGTTGCATTCAACAAAGCCAAGTTCAATTCAAGGAACTGAAGTTGCATTAAATGAACTTAAGTGTATCTCAAGCTTCATTTATTGCAAGTTATCCATCAATTAATGGAACTATATTTCAAACTACTTCAAGTGAAGCTTCATTTATAATTGAGAGGTTACAAAGACTTTGAAGGGTGACCAAGACTTCAATTCTTGGATTTAAACCTTTTTTTATTCTATTTTCAGTTTTAAACATTTTATTTATATGTTTTAAGTTACATTTTAGCTAGTAGATATTATGACCATCATGTATTGGGAGTTACAACCTTTCAAATGCCTTTAGGTTACTTTTAGGTTGTTTCGGAGGCTATAAATAACCTAGTTTGTTTCCTTTGAAATACAGATTTTGATAATTGAATGAAAGTTGCTATTTTGCTTCAAAAAGCCTAGAGCTTGTTTTTCTTTGCAATTCTTGAGTGTTAGATTTGCATGCTAGAATCATTCAAGTAGTTTTGATCAAGCTATCTTGTGTAGTGGTTCGAATCTTGAGTTTAGAAACAAGTTTTCTCTTTTTTTGATATTGATCATCAAGGTAAATTCATTCTAACTTTTTCCTTGGGTTGACATCATCTCGATTTGAGGGTTTTAGCATTTGTGATCTAGGGGTTTGCATATCCATAAGGGTTCTTAGATCAAATTGGCTATTGTTTTCTTATTCAGAACATCTCTTCATACATGCGCCACTGTTCAGACGAGCGGATTTGGGTTTAGTAACTCGCATTTTTACAAAAATAAGAAATAAAAAGTTTTAATCCTTTTATTTCTTTTTATTTCAACCGGACAAGGAAAAGGAAAACCTTCTAATTAATGAAATTAATTTTCTTTGATTTAAAAAACGTTAAAATTAATTTCATAAAAAGGAAAACATTTTTCTTCTTCTTCTTCTTCAACGTTTTGGTCTTGATCTTAATTCAAAAACCATATATCTAAAAAAAAAGTTTTGGCATGAACCACTTTCCTTCTTTTCTTCTGAAATGGTCGATTTGAATCCTCTCTGATGAATGCACGTTTGAGAAGAGTGTTGTATGAACTTTGGGGAGCAACCAACATGTAGACGATTCTAAAGTAGTGGTTTTTCCACGACACAACGATTATGTTTTTCTTATCATGTTTTTCTTATCTGTTCTTCAAATCCTCTTTCTGTCCTCACATTCCCAAATTTATTTTGAATATAAAAAAGTTATATAGAATCCCTCTCCTTTGGTCTTCTAGTTGTTGTTATTAGTTTCTTTAAATTTCTGGACGAGTTTCATTCACTTTCTTGGTCTCTGTATTACTTGTGTAATGGGCAAAAATCTACCCTAAGGAAATTTGCATTGTGCTTTTACATATTCTATATATTGTTTCAGTTTATACGAATATATTTTCTATATATAATATTTACAAATTTAATGTACACATTCACCTTACAAACCCAATCAATATATCATATTGGCTCTAAAGAGAGTTAGAAAATGGTCAAAAACAAACTATATTGGGACATGACAAATCGATCCAAATTTATATGGATAAGTTGATGATAGAATTGAGGCAAGGAATCTATTCTCTATTATTATCCTGATCGATAAATTAGAATAATTTTTAAGTTTGAACTTTCGATCTCAAAAGAAGAAGTAGATGTCATTTACCTTACCTCTGAGCTAAGTTCAGGTCGATTATTGCTAAAATTATTTTGAAGCAATTGATTATCTTATGTATATAATGATTCTACTCAAATGAACTTTTGGCCCAAACCATTTTTCTTACCTTCGTGAAGAGAGTATGGATAGCCATCTACAATACAAATGTGTTTTTTTTCTCTCCAAGAGAGATGAATTAAATTGTTAGCTAGAATACTTCCTTAAAATTTGTGCTTTAACCTCCCCATAAATGATCTTCATTCAAGTTTCTTGTAACTCTTTGTGTAGTGTGTTGTGGGTATGCTTGTCTAGGGTGTGTTATCGATGGCTGCATGTTTAAACCATCCTCACCACTCGCTTTATTTTCATGTCTTTAAATCTTTCTAGTGTGTTTTGCTTGTATTGGATTTTTTGGGTTGTAGGAGGAATTTGACAGAGCGGCTTTGGAACTAGGTATGTATTGGTAAGATACGTAAGCATGTCAAATTTCAAGCCAATCGAAGTTCACACGGGGCATCTAGGCCACCGAGTGACCCATTATCACTTTGCATGTTTACTCCTACCACACCAAAAAATGTTTTAGTATGTACTATAGGGGGATCAAGTAGCCATCAAACCTCCCCCGACCAAGTTTTGTATATTTTATTGCAATCAAACTTTCTTGCATCCAATGTCTACAATACTTGTTTTAAAGATGTTTTTAACAGTTTTTCTCTATAACGTTTTCTACAACCAATTTTCTCACAAAACATGATCGGAGGCTAGACCATTGATCGAGATTGACCGTGACTTACGATTTTTCTCGACTGACTTCCTTATTTGAGCTGAAGCAAGTGCCGCAGAATCGCTTTGGCCGTGTTAAAGAAGTGCTATTGCGACATGATGCATATATAGGATCTTGGCCTAGGAAGAAATTCTTTGCAAAGACAATACCATAAAATAGTTATTCGATGAATTTGGTTACCTTTAAAGACGTTTTGAGAAAACTAAAAAGGGACATGTAGTTAATGAGAATGTTAATTAGTTAGAGTTGCTTGAACAATAGTGTGGTTTGCTGTGTCAAAACCTATGTAAATTGGTTCAGTTAATACGTGCCTGGAGCACAAATATAAAAACTTATTGTGGCACTAAGAGTGTTCACGAGGTGTGGTGGGGACGGAGAAACCTTTCACATCTCTATCTCCACCCTATTTCAATCTCCAAAATTTTCCATTATATTTTACAGGGATTATTCTTTGTTGCGAATTCACGGAGCTTGAGTTTCTATTAAGAATTATTCTTTGCTTATTTTTATTTTCTAAAAAAATAAAATTTCAATAAAATAAATGTCTAATTAAATGCTTAATTTCGAATAGTGAGTTTCCATCTATGGGGTTATATCTCTACGGAGAAAAATCCTCATTTAAAGTAAAATTTCTTAAACCACCTAATATAGTATTTCATCTTAGTCCAATTATTTTAAGTATTAAAATGTAAATATATTTTAATAAGTTCACAACATCTCAACAATAAATTTTAAAATTTCAAAATCACAAATAATTCGAAAATATATAAAATTAATGTATATATTAGTTTTTTATTATGCCCAGTTCAGCAGAAATCTAAATACAGTGGATCCCACGAGGAAAATGAACATGATTTTTTTCCCTTTTATTTTTTTGGGGTATTTGGATGGAGAAGAATAATAGAAATTTTAGGGTGGAAGCTTGTTAGATTTAATACCCTCCGCGGATATAATTTTCTAAGATTTCTTGTAATTAATTACTTAGGTGTCAGTTCTTTTGTATTAGAGTTCCTTTTATAGGTTGGTCCCTTTTATTGGGCTTGTTCTTTTGTATGGCTCTTGTATATTATTTTATTTATCCTCAATAAAAGCTTAGTTTATCTTGAATCTTTATTTACTTAAATTAATTTCAACGGTTATAACTGAAACATTCTTCTTATTTCTTATTTACTTAGTATGATAAATAGGTAGGAAGATTTAAACCTACCCCTTCGAGAAAATAAATAGATGAATGCCATTTAATGTTCAACTATACTTTGACTCTTATGTTTTAAATTTCAATTTAATTTTGATTATATTTTTAGTTTTATCCATCTAGCATAATATTCCTAGATTTTACCCTTCTCCCAACAACGAGATCGAATGGTAGTACTAAAAAAAAAATTAATACTATTGGTTTTTTATTTTGGAAACTTTTTTTTAATAGAAAAATGAAAGGTAATTTGAATGAAGATTTAATTTACTTGGTTATGGTTTGACTTAATTTTAATTTGGTAACTATAATTTATTCAAACACCATGAATCATCTATGTGGTTACCAATATCATATTGACAATTTTTTTCTTTTAGTGATAATTTACTATTTGATTAATTATGTCAGTTGACTTAATTAGAGTTTAATAAAAAATAAAACAAAATTTGTAGGTTTTTTTAATAGGATAAAACAAAATTTAGGGATGACACATAAAATTTTAACCCAACTAAATTATCAAACTAAAATTAAAGGACGAAATTAAAACTTTTAAAATTATAGGAAATAAATTGAAACTAAATCAAATGATAGAGACTAAATTAAAACTTTTAAAACCTTATCCAAACATAAAAATCAAATTTGTAATTTAATCCGATGTAAGGTAACATGTGTTAACTAAAGTAAAATTCTCCATGTATTTTAAAATGGATCTAAAAGAAGCCAACTTATGCAATATATATTTCCGACCAAAACACAGTGAGCTACCGGGGAGGAAAAAAAAAAAAAAGGAAAAGTGTAAAACAATTTACATATTTTTCTCTAAAAAATAGTATATAGTGAGATAGATATTATAAATTGAGGGTTATTATTTGAAAGTTATTTTATTTTTATAATCCTCATCCTCTCCCACTCGCGTTCTCGAAAGTCGAAGCCAGAGTGAAAATGGTAAGATTCTAAACTATAGCATTAGCAGGTCGCATCAGAAGAAATTTTGTGAAGCTTTCATGGCCTTTCAGATTGAACCTCCCAACGACCGCCACGAACAGCTCCCAATTCAATCCATAACCCACTTCTTCCACTCAGCGACCTCCAACATCTGCTCCCTTTTCGCCAATCCCCAATCCATTCCGCCATTTTCACTGCAGCCATCCTCTTCCAGGCTATGTATTCCAGTCGCATTTCCAGCCTCTCGTAAACCCCAATTTGTCCCCCATTCAGGTTTTGAGTCCGCTCACCATGGCCATGATTCCTCGAAATCTGCGGCTGTGAAGGGTTTGCCGTCATCGGCCGAGTTTAGCTCCGGTTTTCCGTCCACGCTCAGGATTTCGGGGCTCAATTCGGATGGAAAATCTGGCGGCCCCGCCTTTGTTGGCCAGGTCTTCAGTATGTGCGACCTTTCTGGGACTGGTCTGATGGCAGTCTCGACCCACTTCGACATTCCATTCATTTCCAAGAGGTTCCCCTCTATCTCTGGTTGCTGTTAAGATTGAATCTAAATTGTTTTCTTATTTGGGTTCTTCGTGACTAGTTTAGACTGATAGTTTATCTTGCAAGAATGGATATTAAAGCTGGGTTGGAGAGTCTGTTTCTCCCCAAAAAAAAGAAGCTGGGTTGGAGAGGGTAACAATTGATTTTATTAATCGGCAGCCAATCATGGCTGTTTAGGTTTAAAATTACGGAGGTTAAGTAATATGAGATGTATGGTTCATTGTTTTAATAAACTTAGCTTTATGAATCTGTGGTTGGGAAGTCTGTTTATGTGCGTTATGTTTGAATGGTTAAAAAAATTTGAGTTTATATAACTTGTATTTGGTTCGTGGGTTTATGATCCTAAAAGTTAAGATGTAGTATAAGGGTTACGTTTCGTAAGTTTACGTTTATGCAACTTTGGTTTTTTTAGCCTGTAGGATTAGCGACTCCTAGTATGGGATAAGCAAACTCAATATCAATAGACTTGACTTCTTAATTTGGGTTGCATTACACAAAGCTAACATGTGAGCTAAACACTTCAATGAGCATTACATAGTTCACCATCCTGGTGAAACGCATCTAGATGGAGCCTCTGTTGAATGTTGTATTGTTGTTGCGATCATACTACCAGATGCGAGTTTCCACAAAAATAATTTAACTTTCTTTGATACTTAGGAAATTTACCATGCCAAATTGAGAGGCAGGGGGAGTGGTTTTCAAGCTTACTTTACAAGAGAATCAGCCCATCTTATCTACCAACCATGCCATTTGTTTGGATGGTCCTTGAAAGAAAAAGAAGAGAGCATCTAGATAAGAGAAGTCCATTTTGTTTTTCATCTCCGATAGATTCCTTCATACGCCACGATTCGATCCCACATATAGAAGCCAGAAATACAACTTTCTTGAATAGGAGAGAATTGTGGGTGGCCAAGGAAAATATATTCAGTAAAACCACTGAAATAGGGGCCTCAATTTACAAATCCTCCCAAAAACTAGTTGCAGCTTCTATTCCAATCATGTTCTTGATTCTTTATGAGAAAAGTTCCTTTAGTTTGTACCTCGTAGATAGCTTTCCAAAGTTCCTTTGAGCCTTGAGGAGTTCATGGAGAAGGATCCGAGCCAAATTTTCATGAGTAGCTTGATATTTTGCAATAATTGCCTACTTCCGTAAAGCATTATTTTAAAGATGAAATCTCTAAAGCCATTTGGCAAGAAAAGAAAGGCTCCTTTGCTTCAAATTATTGATGCAAAGCCTATTTCATTCTAATGGAGTTGGACTTTTGCCCAATTAACCAAGTACCTTCTTTTACTTTTGCCCCATTCCAAAGGAAGCCCCTAAAATGTTTATTATGGAATTAGCCACCTTCATGGGTATGTGGAAGAGAGGCGTAATAAGTGGGAAGATTTCTTAAGTTGTTTTATATTGGGGGTTGGGGATGCAACCTTCTTCTAATAGAAAATATTCCCTCCATTATTTATTATTATTTTTTTGAGAAATAGAGTTGGAGCTTTGCTCTCCTATACTCAGGGGCACCTGCGCTCGCCCCAAAAAAAAAATATCTCCTCCAATTTTAAAGCGTTTTCTCAATTCTCTCAATAATAGGGGTACTCAAAAGGAAGATAAACAGGGATTTCAATTGGGGGAAGTTCTGAGTTACAGCTTGGCTGTGAACCCTCGTGAGCAAAAAAAGAAGCCAAGTAATCATTAGAGATATCACAATTAATTCCCATTAGCACAGATTTAGAATGGGTTGATGTTGAGATTGAAAGCTTCCTCAAGGATTTTGATGACTTTGAAGGGATTTTTTAGGCATGCCTTATCAACTGTAGAGAAGAGAATAATATGATCCACAAATTGAAGTTGATTAATATTTAGAAAGTCATTCTTGAGAGAAAATCCTTTACCAAACTTAAAGGAGAATCTTGAGAAAGGAGTCTTCTTAGCCCAATTTTCCACAAGAATGAAGGGAGTGACATAATGGAAATGTATAATCCTGGAATGACGGTTCGACCCCGTCCTTGGCCTCGGGGTTCTCAGTTTGCCAATAATGATGATTAGGAGCTTATGATAGATATGTAGGTAGGCCCAAATACAATTTTTCCATCTACTTTTGAAACCTTGGCTTGAAGGATGAACTCCAAGAAATTCCAACCAACCTTGTCTAAGGCTTTTTCATGGTCGAGCTTCAAGACTAAACCTTTCCTTTTCTTTCTTTAATAAGCTTATTAACAAGACAAGTGTCTAGGATCGATCCGCCTCATGCAAGAGCTGATTGGTATTCAGAAATAGTGATTAGTGAGGGTAAGTATCTTTACTAGCCTTTCTGAGAGAACTTTGGCAATGATTTTGTTTGCAGAAGGAATAGGTCATATGTCATTCAGTGTTTTAAGCTTCCTTAGGAATGAGACATATACAAGTTTTTTTGAGCTAGCATTGATAGCTCCTTTATTAAAAAAAAAATGTTGGGACCTTGATGATGTTGATCTTGAGGATATTCTATGACTTTCTAAAGAATTTTGCTGAACCATATGATCTAGGGGACTCATTAGTACGTAGGGGTGAATAAAAGATTCCAAAAAATCGATCTGATTGACCAAAATCGACGTTGTTTCGGTTTGATAAATGGGTTGATTGGAGTTAGTTTTTCAAAATAGAAACCGACTCGTTGTCGGTTGGTTTGGTTGGATATGTTATTTACGACCGAAACCGATTGAATATGTTAAACATAATATATAAAAAATAATAATATTAATAATAATTAATACCATTAAATGTTGTTTCAAAAAAAAAAAAATCATTAAATGCGTTGCAGTTTGCTTGGTTTTCCAATGCGTTAATTTTTTTTCAAAATCTTCTTTACTCTCTCACCCCTCTCCGATCTTTTCTTCTTAGTGCTTCGTAGTTTTCATCTCTTTCCTTTCCCCATCTCATTTTCTTTCTTTTGTGAAAATCAATTTATAAAGATGAAGAGATGTAGAAGAAGTTGAGAACTTGAAACCATGGCGGCCGTTGGTGCTTCTATTCCTTTCTTCTTTCTTTCTGTCTCCCTCTTTCTTCTTTCCTTCTCTGGTTTTCTTCTCTCATATCTTCCTCTTTTTTTTATCTAGGTTCGTCTTCGTCTTCGCCTTCATCTTCTTCTCCATTATTCTCTCTCTTTTTTCCCTATTTCTCTTCCTCCGCCTCTGTTATTCTTTTCGTTTCTCGTCCCCACTTCATCTCTAAACCGACCAAAACCGACTGACTGCAGGTATAGTCGGTTGCTCGGAGTTGTAGGATCTTCAAACACCGACGAGCTCCAACCGATGAAAACTTATTTGTCGGTGGTCGTCCTCGGTTGGAGCCCAAAATTGACTTCAACTGATCGATGACCACTATTTGTACCTAAAGAGTTTATAGCTTTTAGCTTTTAAGGGTTTTCAAGAATCTGTTTCTATTCAGCCTCCTCCAACTCCAGGCTGATCTTCTCCCAGGAATCCTAACATGGTATGCAAGCTCAAGAAAGCGATTTACGGATCTATATGCTTCGATTGGCTACAACAGGCACCAAAAGCTAAGAAGGGGCCTGCTTGAAGAAATTTAGCTCTTTGCGCTTCATAGCAAATTGATGGGGGCCTCATCATGCATCTCCAGAGAGTGGCCACGACTTAAAAAAAATAGCCTCAAGATAAAGGTTGTCTAGGGTAAAGATAGGATCGTTAATGTTATGAGGAGGATTGGGAGAAGGCCGATGCCCTTTCTAGAGAGAATTTCATAGATGAATGTTTCATTTTCTGGCAGCTTTCAGTTGATGTAAGAAAGCAGTGTTTTTCTCACCCTCCAAGTGTTTGATTTTGCACATTTAGCACAAAGGACTTCTTTTGCCAAAATAGAGGGAAGCGGTTGATTATTCCATGATTTGAGCACATTTTTAAGCCCTTTGACTTCTATTGTAGAACCATGTCTTGGCGAACCAAGAAGGGTGTTGTTTTTTCACCAATTTTCCATCAAAAGAGAGTAACCTGGATGCATAAGCCACATGTTTCCAAATCTAGAGGGGGGAGGATCCCGTTAAAGCTCACCTAACTCAAAGAACAGGAAAGTGGTTTGTTGTTATTCTGGCCAATCTTTTTTTTTTTGGCAATTTGAAATTTGACCTGTACTGTGGTAAGAAAAATTTATTAATGGGGAAAGAAGGCCGACCATTTTATCATCTCTAGAGGGGACCAAGTGTTTGCTTTTACTTCCATTTACTTCAAGTTTGGCAATCTCAGCTACGTAGTCTAAGCTTTTATTCTCCTTGAAGAACTTGTGGGTGAGGGGCTTTGAAGCAACCTTCCAACCAAACGAGGGAGTCCTAGTGAAGTGAGAAGGAAGAGTAGGAAGGAAGAGTTGTTTCTTTTATGTTCTACCATCCTAGCTCTACTTCCTCTAAATTTTTTGTCTACTTATCTGGAGAAAAGCTTTTTCCATTGTAACTTAATGTTGACTGTAATCACAACTCTTGTAGGTCAGTGTAGTGGATAAGGGTTGATAAAAAGGATTGGAAAGAGAAATAGGGGATGATCAAAGGAGAGAGGAGAGGTCAGGAAAGGGTAGGGAAGGCAAGGAGAGGGAGGGGAGTGAGGTTACAGGGGGAGAGAGAGGCAGGAGAGAGCATTGAAAGGAATGGTTAGTTTATGGCCATTATTAGGATGAAAAGTAAAACTTTAACAGAATAATGCCATTAAGGCCTTATCATGGGAACGTTGGATGGGAAAACTATGAGGACATCTAGTAATATATAAAGATCTAAATGGTCGTTGAATTCTTTGTGATTTTTTAGGCTCTTTATGGCGCACTGTCCATAGAGGTTTTTGAAGGTACACCTTTTTTCTTCTTTTTCTTTTTGGGTTGATTAAAACTCCTCCTGTAAAACTTGTTGGGCTATTATGTTTCCAACTTGTCTTTTCTTTTTTGTATTGATTTTCCACTTATATAATTTATATTTTATCTATAAGAAAAATAATTACCATCAATCTGGGGTGGCACGTTGGTTTAATCTTCTGTATGACTTAAACTGGTTGTTTTTATAAGTTACAACATATACCAATTCAATATCTGTTATGATGATGACAGTACTTGTACTTGTAATACCTGCTAGGCTGATGAAATTTTGAGAAACACAGTGTTGATTTGATTTTTTAGTTTTGCTTAAATTATTTTTAGTTATTGAAACTGAAAGAAAATGAATTTGCCGTCTTGCTATTAATTATAACTGCTGTTCTAAGTAAATAACCCTTCCAAGTGCCATCTCTTATTTGTTGATTCCATTCTTTTAGAACCCCTGAGTGGCTTAAGAAGATGTTCTCAACCATTACTAAGAGTGAGAGAAATGGCCCCATATTCCGCTTCTTTACTGATTTGGGCGATGCAGGTATCAATTCGTTAAATTTTTATGTTGATGCTACTATTTATCTTCATTTCTTTTGCAGTGCTTATGTGACTTATATACTTCTGGACTTCCAAATGCATTTTGAACAAACTACATTGAAGAATATGAAATTTTCAAACCAGCATTACCTTGTTTCTAATGTAAGCAACTTATCTTGACATTTATCAAAAACATTTCAAATCATTGAAATTTCATGGGCTATTCTGTTTTTTGAAGGTGGTGTTACCAGAATGGCAGACCAGTTTGTATTGGAGCATCCCTGTCGCATTTTGTCTTTAGTTTGCATCTTTAAGTTTATCAACTAACTTCAGCCATTATGCATTATACCCTGACCCCAACTATTTGCTTCTTAGTTACATACGTTAAGCGGTTGAATATTCCAAGTGCTGTGGTGGGTGCATGCCGTCTTGATTTAGCATACGAGCATTTCAAGGTACTAAATTTAATATTGGTGGCCCAATATTTATTTATTGGTTGCATTGTCAACTTTGGAATTTTAGATGTACTAAGGTTCCTTTTCCTTTTATCCCCTGCTTACGGAGCTTCACTTATCACCCTCTTTTATTATATTCCATTTACTTGTATATTTCTTTTGGAAAATATATATTATATTTTTTAGTTTTTTAATAGTTTTATTATGGTGTCAGGTGTGTAAGTACATTTGATTCATCAATGAAATTGTTTTTTGTTAGATATCCATAAATGAATTAAATTTACCCAACCCAAAAACTGCTTTTGGGTTTAGTGGTGGTTTATTCATTTTTAACATGGTATCAGAGCAGGAGGTCCTGTGTTCGAACCCCTGCATGTTTCCTCCTCATTTATTATGATTTCCACTTGTTAGGTGTTGCAATTTTCCAAGCCCACAAGTGAGGGGGAGTGTTAGATATCCATAAATGAATTAAATTTACCCAACCCATCAGCTTAAGCTTTTGGGTTGAGTGGTGGTTTTTCATCATTAACATGRGGATTAGTCTCACTTTTGGTATTAAAAGGAAGAAAATAGCCCCCAGGCGATACAAAGCTTACCCACCTATTCGAGAGGGTGGGTATTCTCTCCCTTACTACCTTTCAGCACTCAAAACTAGACTGATCCTCCTCACTCGCTACACATTCCTTTTCTACTGCTCACTGCCCTATTACAAGACTGGGCCCCACTCCCATACCGTTATCCCTTTTATTCGCTCACATCATTCTTTTGTCCCCAGTACAATTCCCCTTCTACCCTTCCTAGGATAAGTCTTCACAATGGGTGGCCTAACAGTTTCACTTAATGGTGTGGTGGTTATAGGGTAGAGGTGAGGATTATTTGGAAATTTAAGCCATATGGCATGGTTCAAAAACTGTCCAATTTGGCCTAATCATATTTGTCTCTAACATGTGACTAATGGGGAACACGATACAATAGGAATAAAATTCTTTTATTAAAAAAATAGAGTGATTGAAGCTGGCTTTGACTATATCCACCTGATTCGGACTAATATTGACTCAGGATTTATCGGTCATGACTCAAGATCACTCACTTTGTATCGTGATTTTCAATTAGATGATTGGTAATTAATAATAATTACAACATGTTGCTATCTCAAATTCAATGATAGAAGTTTTTCGGTGTTCTTACTCAGACCATTTGTCTTATGTGAACTTAACAACTTATGTAGTGTTTAACTTTTATTTGTTAGTATCGTCTTTTCACTAATTTTGTGATACAATCTTAATTTACATATATATTCTTTTTAATATTCGGATTTGGCCAAGTTCCATTGCTCTTTTTGGTGTTCTATATCTAATGCTTTTTTTTAACTATACCTTTCCTCCTCCTCTTCTTTTTTCCTTTGTCTTTTGGGTGTGTGTGTAGATAATACAAGCTGAGTTGGGGTAGTTTTTTGTCAACTCCCATGGAGGTGGATAGTTAGGTTGTATTTTGTTAAACTTTTCATCAACAATGAGAAGTAAATTTCTATCTCAAAAGAATAAAA